AGCAAATAAATGAAATCAAAGTTTTCGGAACGTCCTTGTATTTTAGACCAGACCGATCGACGCTCTGGCAATTATTGAACGAGAATGATAATTTTCAGCGCGGTGTTTGGAACAAGAATGCGATGGTTAACGTAAAAATTATTTTGAGATTTGCCCAAAAGACGATCAAGACGGTGTGTGTGAATTGATTTTACAGAAAACGTCGGACTTCGTGCAATAATTAATTGTTGACGGGAAACGGAATGATTCAAATATAATTGAATGAATAAATAAAAGAAAAGAGAAACTTACATGAAAAATACTGGGCACTTATAAAAATTTGCCAACGGTTTCCCACTAAGGGATGAAATGAAAAATGCTGGACATGAATCAAAATTATTTTACTTGTCGGACGGGTGTCCCAAACTAATTGTAAAAAAAATGCTGTTTCCTATCTTTAGAAAAATAAACGGGGTTGTTCAATATTCTTTCAATATTACGGTTACTCACGGAGTATTTCACTCGACACTGCAGGAGAGAGAAGAGTTTACGGCTGCCGGAATTCAAGAGCCGGTAATTCCCAGATGTGATCGAATTTATGCTTTTTCGCTGGGCAAGATGGAAGACCGGTAAGCCCGAGTGGGGGATACCACCACTACAGCCGACTGTTTACAATTTAGAAATATAAAAAATGTCCTTCTAGTACCTTGACAAATAAAAGTAGATAATCAATACGAAATCGACTCTACAAAATGACCATTCGGATTTCGGCAAATAGAGGAATATTTTAATCTACGAGGGTACTCGCAATTGATGAAAAACGGAAATTTCTGGGAAACAGAAATACGGGGGATTTTCTACATGTTCTCAGGCGGGAATTAATTGAAATAAACATTTTTTAAATTAATTGAGAGCAAAATTTAGTGACTTCGCCACACCTATTAGTGCTTTCATTGCAGCTGTGGGGGTTGTTTTCATTTCCCCCGTTATTCCGAGGCAGGCAAGTCTTTGTACCCTGCTTAGCCTCGTTATTGCTTTCCTTTGCTGTGTCTTTGGCCACCACACCAAAGCTGCGTATGTTATTATCGGTCTCATCACCATGTTATAAAGCCAATATACCATGTCTGGTTTTAACCCCCATTTTTTCCAAAGGATCGCCTTGCCATCATTAACGAGGTTTCCGCTCTCCTTGTGGTTTTTTCCAGATGCTGGTTCCAGGTAAGTCTCGAGTCAATCATAACTCCGAGATATTTTACCTCCCCCTTAAACTGGATGCTTGCACCTCTTAGGTTTAGAGGCCCTAGTCCCTCCAATTTCCTCCTGCGGGTGAATGCAATTATGTCAGATTTGTTTGGGCTAATGGTTAGGCCTTCCGCCTCTGTCCATTTTGTTACTATATTTAGAGCCTCTTGCATTCGATCTCTTACTATAGTGTTGTATTTTCCCTGTGCCATGATCACTAGATCATCGACATATCCCAGGGTTTTATGTCCCTTATCTTTGAGAACCCTAAGCAGCCCGTCCACCACAAGTTTCCACAAGAATGGAGACAGCACTCCACCCTGCGGACATCCTTTCGCTACCCGTGCCGCTATTGTCTCTCCCATAAGGGTTGTGTGTATAGTTCTCTCCCTTAACATAGAGTCGATCCAGAACACGCACGTGTCCTCGATTCCTCTGTGTTTGAGAGATCTAATGATCGATTCAACGGAGGTATTGTCAAATGCACCCTCGATATCCAAGAATGCTCCCAGCATTACCTCCTTGTTTTCCAGTGTGTTCTCCACCCCTTTTATTAATTGATATAGAGCTGTTTCAGTTGATTTTCCTGCACTATAGGCGTATTGGTCTTGGTATATTGGCCTCTGAACCAATATCCCGTCTCTAATATGCCTATCTAGCAGTTTTTCCAAAGTCTTAAATACAAAGGACATAAGACTTATTGGTCTTGGGGACTTTGCCGTTTCCTGCCCTATTTTCCCAGGTTTTGGTATAAAAGTTACCCTAATATTTCTTCAAGCTTTTGGTATGTATCCAAAGGCCAGGCTACTTCTGAGTATGTTACAGAGTCTGCTGTATAAAATATTAGGACCTCTTTGTAACATTATTGGATAAATCCCGTCCATGCCCGATGATTTATATGGTTCGAATGAGCTAATTGCCAATTTCAGTTTATCTTAGTTCACCACTTGTTTGGCTATCCTCCAATCTTTCCTGTTGGCTCTATTATGAGCTTCCAGTCCGTTTAGATTCCGGTTAGCCGGTGTCTGCTATGGTTTGTGCACCAGGGAAGTGAACCCTAAAGAGTTCCCTTACTGTTTCCTTCCCTGTGATTGTGTACTCCCCCAGTTCATTCTTAAGGGTGTTTATTGTGTGTTGTGTGTCTTGTGAGATAATTTTTTGGAGTCTGGCACATTCTTGAGTGCTTGCTATCTCCTCACAGTGCCTTCTCCAAGACTCTCTCTTGACTTTTCGTAAGGCTATGTTGTAACGTTGTAACAGGTGCGTATGGTTCTATATAGTTCCCATTCGCCGGTTATTTAGCCTTATTAAATTTTTGTCTCACCTGTTCCCTTAGTATAGCAAGGTCATCATTCCACTATTGAACTTTCCTGATAGAGTTCCTTGCTATTAAGGGATAGGTATCGTTGAAAGCGCTAGTGACTGTGTCATTAAACTCTTCCACAGCCATTTCTAGGTCGGTTGTTGTTCTTATCGTCTTTCTCATCTTCGGAAAATTACATTCCAGGGAAGCATTGTATGCCTCCCAGTCTGTTTTCCTGGGATTCCGATAAGTTTCTTTTGCAATATTACCTTTAATATTGAAGTTTATGTGTCTCTGATCTGATAAACTCTCTTCGTCAGACACATGCCAGTCTGTAACAAAATTACTCAAGTATGTTGATGCTATTGTTACATCGAGTACCTCCTTTCTGTTTTTTGTTATAAAGGTCGGTTTGTTGCCTACATTTGTTATGTCTAAATTATTTGCCTAAGGGTGTTGCGACATAGTGTTCCATCTTGGACGCTATTTTCACTCGAAATAGTAGTCGCCAAGCCTGTCAATTTATGAAAAATGTATAAGTACTTTTTTTAATATTTTAATTGTGGTTGACATAAAATATTTAAATTTAATCCCTTATTTATGATTTTACGTATTGTAGATACGCAACCTTCTAAATATACCACCTACAAGTTCTTTTGTTTTGGATGCCTAAATCAGTATTAAGCTGCGTAAAGACCGTGTCAAAGAATGCCAATGAAGGGGTTTCATAAAACTTACATTTTAAAATAAAAAATTACATGGGTGTTCGTTTTTGGAACTACCTGTTTGCCCTTATTTCTGAAATAATATTTGCATTATTTTTAAAATTTCCTCTCAATCATAGGTACCTGTTTCTATTTATACAAAAAAATATCGGAATTTTAATACAACTTAGCATCAATGGTTTATATCCACTCAACGCTTTGATCTGACTTTCGTTAGCGGAAACCGGTAGCATTTAGAAAAAATAGTTTTGAGTAAAATACTTTATTAAACAGTAATTAAAGGTGGTTGGTTTCCAAGATATACAACGGATCTCATTTGTGATTTGGTCAGTTTTGAACTCCCGCCATAAACCTTTTTCTGACATACGACCTATTGCGGTTACCTTGACCATTAGAAGTTGGACTTCATACATAATTTTCAGGTAAAAAATTGTGGGGTGGCCATCCAGTGGGGGTAGTATTAATAAGTCTTTTACACCACCACCAGCTAAGAAAAATGGAAGTAAGATCTTTTGATGATATTAGTTTTGACAGAGTTCATAATTTGCCTTTATTTGATAAAACAATTGTAATGTACATTTAGTTTGTTTTTATATTCTTTGAGTCATAATGTTTGTTATAACGACTATGTATTTTTTTCTGAAAATGAGGTTGGGGGATGCTAAAAATATTTTATAGAAATCTTTAAAAATATATATTAGACGATCTTTGACGTTTCAGAATTTTATTTTTAATAATAAAACTCCATATTATTAATATAAATTAGTAGATAAATAAACGTAATATAAATTAGTGTATAATTATTAAGTATAAATAAATTAAGTTGTAAAATAATTTTGCCTCTTAATGTAAATAAATTGTTTAAATAAGTAACTTATTATTTGTGTTATATTTCTTATTATATATTTTCATCGGTATTGTTACGTTTGCTTATTTTAAAACAGTTTAATTATTCTGATTTATATTCACTAAATACACCAACTTATTTTATAATTTATTTGTTTTTATTCAAAACTACACTGATTTGTATTTACTTTAACAATTTATCTTTACTCGACAACATTTTCTCTAAAACTAACTTACTAGACAAAGTTGCGCTATTTATACAAAACCAGCCCTGTTTTATATCCTTTTTTTCTATGAGTCGTCACGTGTGAATCGGATCTTTCTAGTAACATCTCGCAACGGACAAGGAAAGGCCCGGCGTTCAAATCTAGGATTGAAGATTAAGAAAACAAGTTTATTTTTTTTTTTAGTAAAAGTCAAACTATTTTAACATTAGTTATTTTATCTTAATAATTAAATTAATTTTTAAAATTTGTAAAATATACGGTATATTCGAGTGGATCATATCCACTCTTAAGGGCACAAACTACTCATTTTTTTTTTGAAACAGGTGAGAAAATCGTTTATAGGTCCGAAAACTAAATATGTATTTTTAAAAATGTAAAAAATAATTCCCAATTCCCTAAACGAAATTAATTTTTCTTAATTTTTTCGATGACAGTTGTTGATATTTGCCTCTCTGTTGGTTATATTTTGTTTTAAATTTAGTTATCTAGTTCATGGCTGCTAGTTTTAAAAACGGATAAAAATAAATGACAGTTTTATTAACATTTGCTATTTTTCTTCATAAATTATTGTAAATAAATTTACGACGACTTATAGTAACCTCATCCAAGATATATTAAACAAATAAAATACAAGTGGAAATTAAAAATATTTTATTTTGATTTATTTTATAATTTCAGATTCACATTAAGAGGAAAATTGGATCCAAGCGCGAATAAGAATCTGGGAGAGTGTTCTTTTGAACTAGAAATTTGTTTAATTCCCGATCTTCATCAGCTGCCTCAGTCCAACACCCCAACCAAATCCATTCTTAAAAGAGGTGTCTACAATACGCCGGTCAAAAATTTGAAAAATAAAGAAAATTTCGTTGGTATTAGGAGGAAACGTTTGCGCGGAGATTCGTGGTGTTACAAAAAAGTTTGTGAGGAAATTTTGGCTCTAACTTCTAAAGAGTTCGTGAGCTTTTCGGAATCAGCTGTATAGAAATTATATTTTTGCATATACATATTTATATTAAATATAAATATTTTACGGTGTTAAGACATTGTGGCGAAATATAATACTTTTATAAAGAAATATTTTATTTCGAAATATATTTATAATTATGTTTCAAAAAAAAAACTTGGCAGTATTTAAAGCAACTATTTTACATTTTTGAGTTCATATACATTTTATTAGTTGATGTTACTAAAGTAAATTTATGTTTTTAAGGAATTAATAATAATTTTTGGTTTTGTATTATTTTAAGTCAGTATTGATGAAAATAGTATTCATTGAATTAGTGAATTTTTTATGGAGATTTTAGGTGTTTATTTGGAGGTTTGTAAAAAATAAAGCAATTAAACTGTTTTATTTAAAATTGATTTTTTCTTATCTTGGACCCATAAAACCGATCTATAGATGTACCTGTTAAAAAAATACATACAAATGGTCTATAGGTAGATAGAACAAATATGTTTGGGTTCGAATCCTAGCACCGCCAGGCTTTTTTCAAATCTCCAAGTATGTATTTTCACCTTTGGGGTTCGGGGAGGGTCTTAATAATTCGTAGGGGGATTTTTGCGATTTGTTTCCGAATTTTCAAATTATTTCAGCCATATATGCGCATTTATATAAAATAAAGATAAATATCTGCATCCACCGGGAATTGAATCCACTCATGGATTTAGCTGTAAGTATACATAATGCAATTAAAAAATAAATAAATGTTAAAATGTATAGATCAGTGAAACAAACAAATAAGTACATTGTGAAATTGAATCGAAATGATTTTTTAAATTTATTTTTGTTTAATTTATTAATTTTATAGTTATCTATATATTGTCACAGTTTAAAGAATATGTATCAGTTGCTGTACTCTCCATCGGGCGTTAGATCTTTCGTGATCAAAACCGTGCCGTGGCCATCTGCTTTCTATCGTAAAACGGCGTCTCTACAGGGTACTTCCAAGCGTAGGTTGATTTCGCCCGGCGAATATTAGTGTACGAGGGGTTTCGCAAATGTGAAATATAAAGAGAGTTATTAAATTACTAAAACAATGTGTAATTTGTAGTTTTAGCATATAAAGATAATATATGTATATGTACATTTTAAACTAATATAAAACTCGAAATTGGACCAAATAGGAAGCACGTATCGAAAAGAGGAATAGTGTCTGGGACTAGGAGTGTTATTTGAAACTAATTAAAACTTTATTTGGAAAAATGTAGGATCAGTGATAATCCTTGACTGCTTAGAATCCCTAGGGTTCGTCAATCCAGGATCAAAGGATAAATCATCATTTCCCTGAAAAGGTGTCTTAGTTGTACGAAGTGAGCTGCTGTTTGATACAGAACTCCACCGTTGGCTTGATGAGTTGTGAAAATTGGTATGGTATATTGGGATTTAGGTATATATGATATAGGGAAATAGCTACAATAAAACACTGGCGAACTTTCGTAGTAAACGTTGAGCTGAAAAGCTGAAGTTGGCCCTGCACTGAGAGAAATAAGATTAAAATTAGATGAAATATCTACGCAGATAAATAGAAATATAAGCAAGCGTGTATGTACCTGTCCATTCTAATTATCGCTGAACATACATAAAAAAATATTCCGACGAATTGAAAGCCTCCTCATTTTTTTATGGAGTTTGCTAAAAATAGACGATATTTACAAGTTTTTTATTATTGTTAATTTAGTGATACCCTTATGTCGATCTTTATTTAATTTTCTTGTTTTAATGTCATTGTTAATGAATTTTAAAGTATAATAAATTCGTACTCGTGTACATAAACTCAAAAAATATTCAAATGGAAAGTTTTTACAAGGATGAATATAACTTTACAAAATTTATTTTTGAGTTTTGTGCCAGTTTCTTCCTATAAGCCAAAGTATTAAAAGTTTGTACAAAAATGTTTTCCATTTTTAAAACGAAATCAACAATATCTTCGGATTGCACTTTCAAACCATCAAATGGAGATTTCTCATTCTTATACGTCTTTAGTTTACAAAATAAAATTTCTTCATTAATAAGATCGGTATTGTTTAAATAATTAACACATACTTCACAAGAGTGCTGCGTCAAAGATTTTTTAAAAGGTAACCAATTACATAAACCACCCCATTTCCTTCCGGACTTTTGATATTCGCATAATCGTTGGTAAAAACTTTTAAAAATACCTTACTGCAAATAATTTTTTAAATGATCGGCTAAATTGTACAGGTGTAGGATTCCGAGCATTACAACAACAATTTCTAATTTGTCCAAAAAAAGTTTTCAATGCAGTCTTGGTTGTGGTTTCGGGTAAATAAATATTTGTATCCATTGGCTTTTAGTGTCTCCCATAACAATAAAACTGACTTGATTATCACTTTCCATCCATATAAAAATTTCATCTGATTTGTCACATTTTTTCCGTCCCAAGTTATAAAACTCAAGTTTTTAAAAATAAAATACATTTCTTCTAATAATTTTTGTTGCTGTTCACTATTCATAAAAGCTTGGAAATTACCTAAATTATTTGAATTTAATAAATCAAAGAAATTGTCCAATTTTAAAATAAAATTTGCTGTGGTAGATGCTACTGTAGGTAAAACATTAAAGTCTATATAAGTATGCATGACCACCCCTACGGAATGGTTAAAGATTTGTGATGCCAATTTTACTTTCATCTTTTGAAAATTATTGTGGTAAATATGATCATTCGTTAGTCGAGAAGCAAGTTTATATTGTTTGGTATTATCTATATTAAACATCATTTCTGAATATTTCCTTCTTGTAGACTTCAACAAGTGAGGTATATCATATAGATAAACTAGCTTCATCAACGAAAAATGAGGGATTATCTTCTGTTAGTTTAAGAGTGCTCTTGACTAATTTGTAAAATTTTTAACCTTGGTCAGATACCATTCCAAGCACATTTAACCCATTATTACGTAACTTTCACTTACATTTAAATAAAATTTTCTTAATATCATCAGCACTTGGAGATGTTCCATAAAAAATAAGCTATCGGCTGTTTCCAGCTGCCTGCTATACCTCTAGCCATTATGGTTAAGGCGCTTCCTGCTACTTTGCATTCTTATTGTCCCTAGTTTGAAAATCAATAATTGTGTCCTTTGAAATATCATAAAAAAGGTGAGATTTTAGAGATATTTCGTCGAGAAATAATATTTTTAAGCTATTGCATAGCTTTTAGCTATTGCATAGCTTTTATCGCGGGCTTTGAGCGCGGTGACCGAATCAGGAAATTCCGTAACAAAAATAAACCTAACACCCCCCACTCCGACCGGCACAGCGATGCGGCGTTGAAAGCCGTGGAAGGTTTTATCCGACCCTATTCGTATTAGTATGAAGCGGAGTTAAATATACGTCTGCGGACTGGAACGTTTATGCAATACAAGAACTAGAAGAGCTTTCTCTGGCTTCTAATAAATTGGTATCACAAATGTTCCCGGCTGGCGTAAATATTAGATATTACTTTTTTTTGCAAGATTTATAAAATAATAATTTTTATTTTATCACTGTTCATTATTAAGCTATTGCATAGATTTAAGCGCGGCGACCGAATCAAGAAATAAACCTAACACCCTCGAAAAATCGAAAAACCGAAAAATCGATAAAATCGAAAAACCGAAAGTCGAAAAATCGTGAAATCGAAAAATCGTAAAATCGAAAAAGAAATTCCGTAACGAAAATAAACCTAACACCCCCCACTCCGATCGGCTCAGCGGTGCGGCGTTGAAAGCCGTGCATCGTCTAACGTCGTTTCAGTTCGGCAGACTTCGGCACGGTGTTTGTGTGCGTAGGACTAGACGTATGCGTGTAGACTAGCTGCTAACTGCTCATAACTGATTCTATCTCTTTTAGACACAATTTCGGAAAAATTGAATTTGAAAAATGAATAATGATATACAAGAATCCACAACAAAATATGGGACCACCATTGACGCGGTATTTTCCAGATATTTAGAGAATATCAATTCTCAAACTTATGTTTTTTATTTTAGTTACTATAAACCTATAGTTTCAATGATAAAAATTCCTGAATAACCTACATGTATTGTAAGATAATAAAAATATTTTAAACAATATTAACTTCTCATTTATTCAATAAAAGAAAAAAAATGTTTTCTTATCGGTCACCACGCTCAAAAAGTGTAACTTGAATTAATACCAAAGAAAAAAAAATACTGCATAAATAAAATAAATAAATAAAAAAAATACGTGTGGCACTCGGGGACTGCCGCGGTAAAGCTATTGTATAGCATTTTTTATCAACTTATGCAATAATAATTATTTATTTATTTTATTTATGCACTATTTTGAACTGTATACCATTGTACCGAATGGCGTACAACAAATGACGATATGTTTTGACAATGAAACAGAATGGCGAAAGATGAATTACGCAGTGGTAAATAATATGAAGCTAAATACTTTTTCCATAGCAATCGATGAAGCGAAGAGGTACAAGTTAAAATTGATTTTTAATGATGGTACTGAAGGACAACTGGAAAAATGGTAGACTATAGCAATTCCACCGCCTTCATTGGATATCGATTTGAGTGACATGCCAGAGCCTGAATATTCCAAATTATATATAGTTAGTTGTATAACTTTGTTTATATTGAAAATTATTGTAAAAATTATAAATAAAAATTTCTTCTTGTAAAACAAAAATAAATGTTTGAAAATAGATAAAGTGTTTTAATTAAACAACATTTCCATTGTATATTATATTTATTAATAACAAAAATTATAGACCGGGAGCCGAGAGGGTTTTTGCATGTATCATAGGCCCCACGACGAGAGTTTGGGGGCTGATAGACAACGTTATTCCCCACTTTGAATTCCCGATATGGCACACCTTAAATGTAGCTTTTAGGGAGGGTGAATTTTCAAACGTGTAATTAATATCCATGACCCTGGATAATAGGCACCACTTTAATTCTTGTTTTATGTCGTCAAGGAGGTTGCCAAAGTCCGCGAACTTAATATGCCATACCAATATGGCGTCACTTAAGGTCCGCCATACTTAGCAAAACGCGTAATTTTTTCACTGTGGACATATATCATGGGCCCCACGCTGTTGTTTCG